GTCACTAATTGGCTTTGTGACTGATTTTAAGTAGATGTGTCTCAGAATGACAATAGCTCCCTCAACTCTCCAAATTGTTTTATGCACTGTATCTCTCCCTCTCTTGTTGTTACCTATTTTACATTTACAACTCCTCTCCTGTGGTGGTTCCATTGACATAGAAGAAAGGGATGTGACTTTTTTTGTCATTGCTTGTCAACATGCTTGAGACGTAGTAAGCTAACCCATGATCAAATGTCGTGGCTTAAGCCCCGATACAGGCTAGGGAGAGTGAAGTTCCATTTCCCTAGATTGGGATATGACACAATGTCGTGGAGTTAGGTAGATAGTCAGTTATCAGTAGAATTGTATACATCAGGGTCTGGCTGGACTCCTCCATTTTAATCAGCTTAGGAAGCCGAAAACTGTAAGGGCAGGATTCTGATTACTGGCCCAAAGAATAGAGCCTGGGTTTGAGACACAGCAGTTAGTAGAGTGTTTGCATGGCAGTGTTCCATCTGCAGCACTGACAACCTGGGTGTGATGATACAGCACGTGGGAGATTGAGGCAATAGGGCAGAAGTTCAAATTCAAGGCCTTCCTTGGTTTCATAGCAAACTCAAGACATCTTGGGGTATCTCAAATGGTAAAAAAAAAATGGAATCTGAGTTTAATTCTTTGGTCCTTGGTGACAGTTCTAAACTGCCCTCTAGCTCATGAGATTATTGTCTAGCCAGATAAGGCACTCTGTTAGAAGACAAGGCTGCATACTTACTCTGCTTTCTGTTTGCCCTCTGTTCTTGGCCATTGTCTGCCCTTAGCTCTTGGTAATACCCTGTACTCAACTCCACCTGTCCTCTGCACAGTGTCCTGCATGTCTCCTCTGAATTCTTTAAATGGAGATTGCAAGACTTGAGGAAATCCTGCTGACTACAGGGCTGGTTCCCAACCCTGACTCACTTGTCTTCTTTCTTTAGCATGGTTTACCATCCTTGAGTGTAGGTATTATCAGTTATAATCATGAGGGCATTAAATGGTTTTCAATTGTGGTAAAATATACATGACATAAAAACTAACCACTGTAGCCATTTTTAAGTGTACAGCTCATTGGTATGAAGTACATTTACATGGCTGTGTAACCATCTTCAGAATTTTTCTCATCTTGCAAAATTGACAGTTTGTACCCTTGAAAACAATGACTGCCCCCAACCTCTGCTGCCAACTTTATGCTGCCTCTTCTAGGGTTTCAGGCATGGGCCTCAAGTAACTGAACCCACCCCACCACTCTAGATATTTGTCTTTTGTGATTGTGGTCTTTTTTACTTAGCATAATGTTGTCAGATTTATCCACACTACAGTATGTGCAGAATTTCCTTTCTTGAGAAGGCTGGACAATATGCCTTTGAGGGTCTGCACATCCTTCCATGGACACTTGGGTCCCTTCAAACTCTAAGCTATCATAAGTAATACTATTCTGATCCCTTCCCATTTTCTCTAGTTATGAATTCAGGAGCAGAAATGCTGACTGTATGGCAATTATATTTTGAATTCAAGAACTACTCCACTGTTTCCCATAGCAGCTGTACCAGTTTACATCCCTACTAACTACATGTCTTTTGAAAAGATGGTAGTGTAATTAAATTAGCAGTTCTGTATTTGTGTGTGTGTGTGTGTGTGTGTGTGTGTGTGTTTGATGCCTTAATTGGAAATCTTAAAAAACATTGTAGGCTGTGCATATGCAAATAATTCCAAAGATGTGAAGGGCTTAAAGAGTCAGGACAATGAATTTTGAACTACTTACCATTTGTAGAGTTGATTTGATGCTACTGTGTCCAGCTTTGTAGATACCATCTGAGAATTTACATATGGATGTGGAAGAGGGATTTCGCTTTTCAGAACGGCTTGAACATTTTTTCCAGTTTTTTTGACCTAGAGTCCACAACCACTTCATATTAGCCACAGAAGCAAAGTTTTGGGAAAAGAGATGTGCGAAATCAAAGGAAGTAGAATGGTCACTTACATCTTAGCCAAGTAATGGCGTGCTTTTTCCAACACAAGGAAAAATGTGGGAAAGAAAACACCAGTTTAAAATCAGATTTAATCAGCCTCTATAATAAGTCTTAGACTATCAAACATATTCAGTAAATATTTACTGAGTGAATGAATCAATGAGATATTTTTGTTAAATTTAACAGAAGCATGAACATTATTGTTATTTGATAAAGCATCTGTTTCTACTTATTTACCAAATTTATTGATTAACCTACAGCAAAATTTGTTCTAAAATGTGAATTCTTTATACTCAGAGGCATGAAAATAAAGACCATAATTAAATGATTAGTATTAAATCCATATTAACTGAAGAATAACAGTAACATTAAGATAATGTTTATATTGTCAGTATTTTTGAAAATCACATTTAATATTGAAATTAGAGAAAATGTCTGCCATATTATTAAACAGCTATATCAGTACAAGGATAGGAGGTGAGCATGAAGACCCACCCCTGGCTGAGGAGTTACTGACAATTGATAGCTGTTGGGAAAGGAAGCATCAGTTGTCATTGAGGGGATGGCTACTAGTAGGTCAACCATACTTTAGTAGATTACCACACATCCAAGAGTTATATGGGCAGCACAAATTGGACTTGATAAATTAAAAGATTAAAAAGAAAGGGAGACAAAACTGGGTGGGTAGGAGGTGGGGGTAAATTAAGATAAAAATACATTGTATGCAGTTCTAAAAGGACTGATAAAAAGTGTTAAATAACATGAAATGCTTTAATTAAAAAGTCTCTTAAAAATAGGTCCGACTCATACTTTAGGTAAACTCTTTTCCCACAAAACCCTTCTTTAAGTTTTATAATTAACTGTAGTTCATATAGTATCCTCTGTATCACCAAAAAAATTATGGTAATGTTGTTGCTAAAATATTCTATATTATGAAATGTTCACTAATGTACACTAAACTTCATTTAAATTAGAGTTACTTAATATCTTATTTGAAGAAGATTATTGAGAACTTAGATTTGAAGAAATTAAGAAGTTCATGCTTTGCTGAACACATTATGGTTGGTTTTTGTTTTGTTTGTTTTAAGTATACCATTTAGCAACAGAAATGGCTGAGGGACAACTCCTTTTCTTAAGTCCTCCACTATGGGGTAGACCAGTTTGCAGATAATCAGCCGGTAGCCCACAGTACTGGCTAACTAACACCCGGCATACAGGAACAGGCAGAGCGGCCCCTGCCAAGGAGGTTAACTTATGGCCCAGTTTCTCAGGCTGCGCATGAAGCAAACAACATGGGAGTAGGGATCATTCCATTTGCTTCTCAAATTTTCATTCTGGATTTTGGCCGCCAGGGCATAACCACATCATTGAAGCCTCTGCCCTTTCCCAGGCTCCCATGTCTCCTTCAAATCCCAGTGTTGCATTTTTCTCAAGTTAACTGACTAATCAGCCACCGCTAGGATTCCTCACAGTGCAAGACCAGAACACATTGTAACCAGCAATGTTGCAGATGCAACAGCTTCCTGTTGTCTTCCTGTAACTCCAGCCATCACAGGAAGTGAAGTGCAGGAGACTGCAGCTCAGAGCCAGCCAAGGAGGTCACCGAGACTGACTGCTCAGTTCCCAGAGTGGCTCAGCCTTCTGGTCTGGTTTCCTAGTTAACAGAGATTAATTCCAGTGAAAGCGCCTTGCTCACAGATGATTGTTGAGAAACCCAGCTAGACCATGTTATTTAGAAAAACCAAAAACATGCATTTCAATGAAGTTTTAGGGAATGACCCTTTTGAAACTTATTTTGCTTATTGAGTTATTCTAAGTAGGGTGAAAAAATCCTTTTTTTACAAAGTAGAAGTGTATAGTGTGCACATATATGTGTGCGTATGCTTGTGTAAAAGTCTTCAGACAATACATTAATCTATTTTAAAAGCTAGTATTCTGCCACTCAGAAATAATTGCTACTGTTTTGCTATCAACATTTCTAGATATTTTCTTATGGCCCTATAAATATAAAAGCAGAGAGAACTGGTCAGTGGTTAAGAGCACTCACTCACCTTCCAGAGGACTTGAGTTCAGTCACTAGTACCCCTACTTTGGGTGGCTCACAACCACCAATAATTCCAGAAGATTTGTGTTTTCTTCTGGCCTCCACTGATACCCATGTCCACATGGCATTCACACATCAATATATATAAGTAAAAGAACCTGAAAATTTCATCAGGATTCCTCATTGATTTTTAAATTTTCATGTGACCTAAGTTATTTGTAATTTTTCATGAATAGACAAGGTATGCATATGTGATTATGATGTGGAAACATGATTCAATGGTGGGACAAACCCACAGCCCCTGACTTCGTCCTAACCCGCTTAAATACGACTGTGGATGCTTGAAATGGAAGACCTGAATAAAGAGTATATGGTTTCATGAATTTTGAAAGCACCTGTAAAATTGCTCTCCAGAATTTCGTGTCAGCTGATAACCTGTCCACCATTATTGTGCATGTGTCCCATGTCCCCACAGCCTTAGAAGTCATGGAGGTTGTAAAGGGCTAGAGATGTATCTTACCCATAAAGTGTGTTTGCTACCCACATCTGGATCTAGGACTCATAGCAAATGCCTGTGAACTCCAGCTCTGTGGTATCCAACACCCTCTTCGGACATACATACCCACATGCACATATGTTCATACTCTCATGCAGACACAGACACACACACACTCACACACACACACACACACAGTCACTCTCTAACACACACATGCAATTAAACATTCTTTTTTTTAGAGTAAGACAGTGCTCTGAAGGAAATCTATCCAACTTAATACCTTTGGAGGTCACTGGAAGCTTAAGGGGGGGGGGTTCTGTGGTATGCTCCCAGCTGCTCAGAAGGTTGTCCACAGGAAGGTCATTGTGTGACTAGTGCGTTTCTTTGTTTAACTGAAGCCATAACTTCAGTTCCCTCCGTCAGGTTGTGGCTGTGTTTTAAATCTTCTTCCTGTACACTTTTCTCTTAGATTGAGGAAGATACGTGGCAGAAATACTACTTGGAAGGAGTCTCCAATGAGATGTACACAGAATATCTCTCCAGTGCCTTCGTGGGTCTGTCCTTCCCTACTGTTTGTGAGTAAGTGACTGCTTACTGGATGCCCTTTGCGCCTCGGGCATGCCTCCTGCCTCTGCTTGCACTGGTTGGGACACTTGATTCTGACTGCTGTGGGCTTAGCGCTGCATTTCTGTGAACAGGAGAGTGTGTCCGGACATGGTCCTGTCTTTGGGTGTCATTTGGGGTTGCAATTTATCTTCTAGGTCCCAAAATCTTGAGACTAGACCCCAGATTTGTACAAACTTGCAACTGGTGCAGTTTGCCTGGCCATCTTTCGTAACACTGCTATGAGATGGACGTCTTTGAAGGGAGGCATGAGCTCACGCAGCCCTTGGTATACTTCAGTTTATTTGTTTATTCATTTATGGTGTTTGTTAGCGACTGAGCTCAGGACTTCACCTTCAGCCCCATCTGCTTTTAATAGAGAAAAAAAAGTCAAATCTTGCCCTTTCCAGGACAAAGGAATTTTAATCTCCCTTCTAATTAAGTCCATGATATATAGACATTTAAAGTGCTTTGCTATTTACTGAGGAACTTTGCTGCCAAGTGCACAGAAGGAGGCCTTGAAAAGGCCCTGCGCACACAGCTGCCAGGCTCAAATAGCAAGAATCGGAACTGCTTCCCAGGGCACCTGCAGCAGGCCACACCCTGTGCCCCCAGAAAATCAGGCGTCCTGGTCTTGGGAGCCCCAGGTGTCCACCTGGAAGCATGACAGTACCCCCGGATTCACCACTTCGACTCTCTGGATTGAAATCAAACTCAAACAAGGTGGTATTCCCTGCGGAAAAACAAGGTCTTAGAGTGGTGACCTCTAACCCTGATGCCCTAGTACTGTCACTTTAGCAAAGGTCAGTAAATGATCTCACTCATGCAAACTGGGAAGAAACAGGTGGATCTGGGGTGAGGGAGAAAGAGCCACCTACCAGGCAAGCCCACCATCTGGGATTCTAGGTGGCAAACCTAAATCAAAACAGAGCGCTTTGTAGTAAAGAAAACCTGGGACCTTTGGGCTCCAGCTCTGTTTAGTGTGCAGAAGGGAGGGGCTGAGCCGCCCACCCGCCCGCCAGGGAGCACAGCAGGTGTTCTCTGCCAGTCTCCAGGCCCAAACCCCCAAGCGCTCCAAAATGGTTTGGTTGTTTACAGAAATTTCTTTCCCTGTCTCTAAGCGATAGTTTAAATGCTAAATGGACTGGAAAAGTGAATAGGTAATTGATTCGGAAGGAGTTCTTTTCTGGAAATGGAAGCCCTGCTGTAACTCCCACGAGCAACTTTCCCTGAGAGTGATTTCTCTTTCTGCTGGGGCGGGATCTGGATGCTGGGAGGGTATCCTCGTTGGTAGTTCAGCCTGCTTCCGATGACTGGCAGTGTAGAGCAGTGAGAACTTCCATGAACACACAGGGCTCTTTAGGAAGGCCCTTGAAGGCCTCCGTGGTCAGTTCCGGGTGGGATAAGCGTCAAGGCAGAGGTGGCAGCTGAGTGGAGCCCTGTGATGTCAGGGATGCTAGCTAGCTGGGAAGTTTCGAAGCTCTTTTCCTTGTCCATTAACTTTCCTGGTTTGACTAGTGCTGTTCCTGAGTCTGCCAAGGAAGCTCTCCACACTTCAGTTTTTGTGTCCTTACCTTCCTCTACCCCTTTAAAGACTAAGGGTGAGAACTGCCCCCCCCAATGGCTGTAACTGGGATTCTCACAGGGTGCACTGGACCCAAGGAATCGGTATTGTTTAATTTGCTTAAGGCTAGTTGCTGGTATTTCTGGACCATGGTATTTCACAAAACAATGCGTCTCTGTTGGCCACACAAGATCCATGTTTCTGCCCAACACTAACTGGCTACCACTTGCGTTAATGAAGGGGCTATATAGGGTTTCTCTTAAAATAGCGTGGAGTGACACCCAACAGCCCAAATCAGCCACATGAAGCTCCATTAACCTTTAGTACCAGCCCAGGAGTCTGGCCTGTAGCCTCTGTGTATCCCAGTTATTGCCTCTAGGGGGAGCAATCTTTGCCTTCATCTTTAACTGCCGTTTTCCAGTGGCAGAGGAAGAGGAGGGTGGAAAATCTAGGTTTCAGAGGAAGCTCTCTTGTCAAGTCCAACACTAGTAAAATATGAATTATTTCCCTTGATTGATTTTCGTCTTTAGAACATGTTCTAATGAGGGAAAAGATCTCTTAGACATACCAACGAGTCAGTGAATTTAGTATTTGTTCAGTAAAGCTTTTGAATGAAAAAAAAAAAAGCAACTTCTGGTGTGAGTGAGAATCTTTTCAGCCTGCTGCTATTATTCCTTTAATGCAGCAATTCGGCAGAGGTGGAACTAATCAATAAAGAAAGGACATTTAATGAGATTTAGGAACAACCCAAAACATTGAAGCTCTCTTCAAGCATTTGATTATCTTGAGGCTTAATTATCTGTGTTTTCTACTTTAAATTAAAGAAAAGCCATAACTCAAAGTTACCAGCAGTTTAATGATAACACTCTTCAATTCAGGTTAATTAAAGCGCAGCTGTAATTAGAGTGTAGCGTTGTATATCACCAGGCTGCCGCGTAAGTATTTTCATTACTGTAAGAACTGGCTATTCAATTTCAAGATGACATAAAGGACGCCCAAATATATTTTAAGCTGGTTTGTGGAGACAGAAAAGAATCGAGGAATATTCTGGGTATAATAAAGCACGGATAAAATATACAGATTTTCAGAGCAGTTTCCATAATTACATACCACACTAAAACAATATGCAACCGATGATGTTGCAAAGCGTGGAAAGAAATAAATTTCTTCTTCCCCTGGGCTGGCAGCAGCATGCCACCCAGCAGGTGGAACCAGTGAGATTCCAGAGTTTTCTCTGAAGTGAGGCAGAATAGGCCTTATGAGAAGAGAGGGGCAAATATCCAGGGGAAACTGAAGAAGCAGAAGGAGTCAGTGCAGAGGGGAGGGGCAGAGGGAGGCCTCCAAAGCTACTGTCACCAAAACCGCAAGGTGCAGCATGAGGGTCTGGCTGTGGTGGCAGCCTCTGAGTCCACCCTGTGCCTGAGACTAATTTAGACAAAATGAGTAGTAGTGTGCAGCCTTTCACCTGCATTTCAGTTACAAAGCAGTGGAGTGATGTTTGTATTGCAAGGCAAGGGGTGTCAGAGTAATAGAAACATCTCATTCTGTGCACAAGATACCCCTTAGCTTGAAACTTTGAGACTCAGAGGACCTTGGTGCACCCAGAAAACAGATGACGGAGCCAGGGTCCCAAGGTGCTAGTCTCATGCAACTGAGAGCAGCTCAGAGGAGGTGACATTTGAAGACTGGCTCATTAAAACTTTTGTGGGGGAATTTATAAAATGATCTCAATGCTTCATCCCCAGCTGTTAAAATCTGTAGTAAGGCTTTAAAATATGCACTGTTTTTTTAATGAACAAGTGAGGTGATCCTTATCTGAAATTGGAGGACATGAAACTGCCCTGTCCTTCCAGCATACCACCCCACACTCTGGACTAATGGCCTCTGTATCCTGCTTTGAGCCCCATCATGCAGGCAAGTCATAGGATCTCAGGTGGATAGGATCTCAGGTGGGTAGGATCTCAGGTGGATAGGATCTCAGGTGGGTCGCATCTTGCAAGCTTATGCTACGATCTGGGCCTTTGGGGACTGGAGAGATGGCTCAGTGGCCAGGCTGAGAATGTTTGATGCTCTTGCAGAAGACTCAAGCAGCTCACAACCCCCTATAAATACAACTCTAGGGGGTCTAATGTGCTCTTCTTCCTTGGCATACACACACACACACACACACACACACACACACACACACACACACACACACACACATACATATTTAAAAAAAGGATCAGGGCTTTTGCATAACTTTGTTCTTAGCAACAGCTTGGGATCCAAACACCAGCACCCACCTGCTTCTTTCCCTTCTTACTCCCTTCCTGTCTAGCCAGGTGTTTGTAAAGATAGGGATGGCCAGTGTCAAGCCTACAGGAAGGCTATGAAGCCGCCTTCTCCCATAAAGGATCTTATTCTTGAGTAGTCCACACAACACCACACTGTACAATGCATAGAGTGAAGTCACAAAGGGCTGAGGTCCCCCCCCACCATAAGCCACTTACTGGGTTAAGATTCTTTGTGTCTGTGTACTTTTCCTATGATAGCATAAAATGTTGGCCTTATGCTTGGTGCATGTTATGAGGTTCCTCGTGCGTTATTGACCTTTCCTGCCTCTCCTTTCTGCCTTCCCCTCTACCCCCATTCCCATCAAGTGTAAGCAGGAAGGAAGGAAAGGACAGAGGGAGGCAGGGAGGGTTACTGAGGCAGGTCCAGTTTCTTTTTACTTTTATTGTTTAGTTAATTCTCTAGTTATTAGTCACAAGTCAATAGGACAGAAATGAAATGAATTAGAATATTTTCACCATTGTGTCAAGCTTATTGCCTTAGATTTGACTATTAAACATGGAAACTTAATAAAAATTTCTTTTGGATATCAAGCAAACAATTTGTTTTCCCTTTAGTGCTGTCTTCAGAGTCTGAGATTGGGACGAGAACTCACCCCATACTCGGGAAGCTGTAAGGCTCTTGTGTTCTTGCTGAAGGCATGCAGCTGGACTTGTAGGTGTTACACTCTTGCAGAGTCTTCCTGTAGACCAGGGAAGGATTCTGGAGTAGATGTCACTTTATATGAGCTGATCCTGTAAATAAAAAAACAAAACAAAAAACAAAAACAAAACAAAAATGTGGATTCAGAAGAGGGTAAAGCTCGAGTCCCAGGGAATAGAGATGCTGGATCATGCAGTACCATAGAGAGATTTCTCAACACACCTGCTCCTTTGAGGTTTCTTAATAAGAACCCTGCAGATGGGGACAAGGGGCATGTCATCCCCTTTGACATATGTTGCTTTGAGAAGAAATAGGGCTGGTAGTTTCTTTGTGAGAGCTAGCAAACCTGAGGATGCCCAGGTGGGTGGAGTGGGAGAACAAGGTAGGCAGAATGACCTAGAAAAAAGCAGGTTCAGCAATCAGATTGGCAAGAACA